CCCCAGCCAGCAGCCCCGAGGGGCACAGGGACCCGTGTCCCCGGCCGCTGGCAGGAGGCTCGGGGCTGGGAACTCCCGGGCCAGCCTGTTCCCTGGGCTGCGAGCAGCCTGGCGGGGCCCCAAGGCCGCTGACCTCGGCCGGGCCGGGCCGGGCAGGGAAGGACCTGGTCACCGACCGCAGTCCTGGTCCTCACGCGGCTGGGCTGCGCCTGTGGACGCCCCGGCGGGTGAGTGTTTGGGGAGCTGGGAGGACCCGGGCAGGACCCGCGGCCTTGCCAGCTGTGAGCTCCGTCCGTCCGTCCGTCCGTTTATTCAGCTGAGAACTATGTCCTGAGTGCCTGCTATGCGCCATTCACCAGCGGCGCGTGCCGGGCGGGACGGAAGGGGACTCACAGGTGGAGGCTGCCGTGTCTCACCGGCCAGGGCAGCTCCGTGGGCCTGGGAGGCAGGACTCATCCGACAGCCCGGCTGCGTCATGTCGGCGCCTCCCCAGGTGCTGCCCCGAGTGTCACCCTGACGATGACAGACGGACGTTAGTATCCGACAGACCTGGGGGTGGGGATCAGGCCCTGCCCGCTGCCCCACAGGCCTCCGTGGGCGCCTCCGTCTGTCACCTCCTGTCCCGGAGGCCCCGGGCAGCAGCTCGCACCCCCTGCCTGCTTCTGCTGAGACTAGACGGGTCTCTACCTGCCCTGCACTCGCAGCGGGAGGCCGCAGTGCAGCCCTAACTCAGGGGCGTGGGACCCGGCTTCGGACGCCTCTGCCCTGACAGCCAGTTCATCTGAGGGAACCTGTCCGTGGGCGGCCAGGAGCCGTTCCTAGGCAGAGGTCCTGCCACAGAGCAGACACCCCCACAGGGGGCCCAGCTCCAAACTACGTAGGGGCGATTGGTGCTGACTTGGGGTCCTAGGGTGCCACCACCCCAGGATGAAAGACCCCACACCCCAGACACCGCAGGCTCACCTCTGAGCCCCATCCCACAGTCCTGGGGGGTTAGTGTGTGACCCGAGGGTGAGGGGACTCTGGGGGCGGCACATGTGCTGCAGCTACCGTGCGAAAGCAGCTTTGGGGTCCTGGGTGTCTGGGTCTCTCTGTCTGTCTGCCTCTCCCCCCCACCTCTATCTCTGTCTCTGCCTCATTCTGTTCCTCTGTGTCTCTGTCTCCATCACCCCCACTGTCCCCCACACTCCCAACCACCCATCACCCCCCAGAAGGAAGCCTGGGGTTCTATGTCCTCAGAGCCACGAGCCCTGTGCCGCCAGGAGCACGCGTTCCGTGCACCCCTGTGTGAGTTCCCCACGGCCTCACTCCCCCTGCAGGTCCGTGGGTTCGCCTATGATGGGCACGCAGGTGAGCGAGGCAGGCCGACTCCCACGCCTGTCCGGCAGCAGGAACGCAAACGCAGACTGGATGTCGGCGCTGTGCCCCCGGCTCTGGGACGTGCCCCTCCACCACCTCTCCATCCCAGGTGAGGCCTGCGCGTCCCCAGCAGGGATGTGGGCTGCAGAGAGGTCCTGGGAGTGGGGGAAGCCAAGATGCACACGCGTGTACACACGTGAACACACATACAAGCGTGCACACACACACGCGCTCATACACTTACACATACACTCACGCTCACGCTGCACACACACGCATACATGTCACACACACGCTCACAGTCACACACACTGTGAATGAAGTATCATGGACTCAAGCCCATTTTATTGCAAAAATGCTGCTGGGGTTCGCCCTGAACAGATGTCTCAGTGCGGATGGGACACCTGGTGACCGGAGCAGGTGGGCATTTCCAGGGAGGGGCATCGGTGCCCAAGACATTGGAGATATGGCAGCCCGGCTACTGCGGGGTGTGCGCTGGGTCCCCTGCCGCCAGCAGCCACCGCGAAGCTTCTGGAGGCGATGTCTCTGGGTGATGTCACTTCAGCTGTGACGCCAGCATTTCATTGGCCATCGTGACGGCCTGCGCTGCCACCAGCCGTCAGCCCATCTCTCTTTCACGGACCCTTCGGAACAACAGGAAGCCCTGCTTTCAGTGGGATGTTTGCTTTACGCAGCGTCTCGGGTTTGGCTCACTTCCTTGGCAACTGTGGGGCTTTGTGCCGCCGGCCTCACCCTCCACGAGAGGCAACAGCTCTGGTGCCCGCCTGCCCCTTCGTGGGTGCGATGGAGACCCAGGACCTGCCCCAAAGGCCCTCACAGGGTCAGCGTCACGTGTGCACGCTCTGTGTCTGCCCGGTGCCCCCGCTGTGGAGACGCTGCTGGGAACACCGCAGGATGCAAAGTTCCAGGTGCCCAGTCGCCCCGCACATACAGAAGGACCCTGGATTCTCCCCACCCAGGACGTGGGTCCACACACCCCACTCCAGGAATGCGGGCGTCCCCAGAAGCTGGAAAGGCGCAGCGGGGGGCGTCCTAGTCCCTGGAGCCCCCACAGGGAACCGGCCCCGGGCACTTAGAGTTCGGAGCCAGGTCAGACTTGTGGCCTCCGGGACGTCAGGCGACGCTTCCGTTTGTGGCACTTTGCCACGGCAGCCCCAGCACACTCGCACAGCCACCCAGGAGACGCCATGAAGACCCGGGTCTTTCTCCTCAGGCCCCGTTCACAGCGGAGCCCCTGCCCAGAGCTGCTTAGCCTTGGGGCCTCCTCACCGCACCCTCCCAGAGGCTGTCTGCACCCACCGGGCCACTCAGGGGACCAAGCCCAGACGGGGTGTCCCTCTGCCCTTCGTCCCTCCTCCTCGCCCACAGCAGCCCCCCAGGGACGCCCGGAATGCTAACCTCAGCCCAGGAAGCCAGGCCCAGGACGAACCTGAAAAGCACACGCTGACGGTCGCTGTCGGCACAGAGGACCTGGAAATCCACAAGGGACGTGGACCCCGGCAGGAAACGGCTCAGGCCCAGACAGGGGTTCCCAAAGGAGGAACCCCAGTGACCCATGCAGCATGACTAACGCCCAGCCCCCCGCTGTGAAAGAGTGTGCAGGAGACACACTGTACCATCTCTCCTGGACGGGCTGGACGGGCTGTGGCGAGCGTCCCCTGAGGTGGAGGTGGGAGGCGCGCTGGCCGAGGGCGGTGGGCTGTGAAGTGGGGCCCCCCACGGCCTGGTCGGAGTCCAGTCCCAGTGTTTCACCTGAGACAGTGATTGCTGGGCGTGCGACACGCTCATACTCACACTCTCACACCAGATGTTTGGGGTGATGTCGCCCGTGATGGGCGGGACGAGGGTCTCCATGTCCAGTGTCAGCGGTCAGCTACGTGCAGACATCGCAGAGTGCACGGTCTTGAAAACAGTGCGGGGCCCCCTGTTTCCCGCCACAGAAAACGCTGACATGATGCTCGCAACATAGCAGACAAAAAATTCCATAGTTTGATCCTGTTGTTTGTTTAAAATACGTAGATGTAAATGGCTATCCCCATATAGAAATGGGTCCACATCTATTATATTATACATAAAACATACAAATATAAAATACACATAAATATATATATAGTTACAAACATAAATTTAAAATAAATATAAATATATGAAGGTGAAAAAAATTTTTTTTACCTACCTATATATTTTTATTTTTCTGCAATTAACATGCATTAGTTCTATGAGTTTCCTGTGGCCGCTGTAACTCACTACCACAATGAAATGTCTTACAAAACAGGGACCCATCCTCCCCGCACCCCCACTCCAGGGCTGGAGGCCAGGAGGCTGCCACCACTCTGTCACAGGGCCACGCTCCCTCCGGAGGCCCCAGGGGACGGTCCCTCCTGCCCCGTCCAGCTCCTGGGGGCTCCAGGCGTCCCCGGGCGGGTGGCCGCCTCCCTCCCGTCTCTGCCTCCGTCTCCACGTGGCGTCCCCTCTGTGTCTGTGTCTCTCCTCTTCTGTGCCTGATAAGGACACTGTCATTGGGGTCAGGGCCCCCCTGATCCAGGACGCCCTCATCCCCGATCCTTCACTCAGTCCCATCCGCACAGACCCCGTCAGCAGGTTCTGGGTGACGTGTAGCTCAAGGCCACCTTTGGCCCCGGCGCTATGCGTGTTCTCTGCGTGTTCTCCATGTTCTCTGCGTGCTCTCTGCGTGCCCTCCGTGGGTCCTCGGTGTGCAGCCCGCAGCGCACAGTGGAAGGAGGACTGACGGAGGGCCGTGCCCTCGGTTTGCTTGCAGGGAGCCACGACACGATGACGTACTGCCTGAACAAGAAGTCCCCCATCTCCCACAAGGAGTCCCGGCTGCTGCAGGTCCTGGCCAAGGCCCTGCCGTGCATCACGCAGCCCATCGTGCTCAGGTGGTCCGTCACCCAGGTAAGGAAGGGGCTGTGGGCCCGGAGCCACTTCCCCACCAGCGCCAGCCGCCTGGCAGGTGGCGCCCTCATCCCTTTGGGGACATAGAGCTGAAAGCAAACCTCCTCCCAGCCCACGGAGGGAGGCGAGAAACAACACGGCTCATTTTCAAATCGGAATGACAGCACGTGTGACAGGCAGCTGCTCAGAGGTCACAGAGATGGGAAGAGGGTCACCCTCGGACTTGGAGTCAGGCCCTGTCCTCTCTGGAGACGGTGCCAGGCGTTTCCATCCTCTGTCAGGTTCCAGACGCCCCCAGACCTGCAGGAAACACCCCTGAGAGTGGGAGTGGGCGGAGGCTGGTTAGAAGGACTCAGGCGCATTTGGAAAAGGCAGAAAGCGCCCCCACTTGCACTTTTCCTCAGGTCCAGGCTCTGAGGGGGCGAGGGCGGTGTCTCCTCCGGTATTTTCCTGCCGGCCGGCCGGGGGGAATCGAGTCTCGCCTTAATCCTTTGGGTTCCCTGCACCCCTGACCCACAGTCCCTCCGTTGCGAGCCGCAGATGGTTTTAGGGCCTGGGAGCAGCCGGGAGGGGTGATCCTTGGGGACGTGTAGGCGAGGGGCCTCCCGGAGTCGCTCAGGACGTCCCATGCTGGGGTGGGGCCTCCGCTGGCTGTGGTCCAGCACGGGGCCTGGGGCCCCGTGGTGGCACCCACGCGGGGCCCACCTGGGAGCAGGGCCGCCCCCCTCTGCCTCCTGGGAGCCGCTGAGCCCCAAGCTGTTCCCTCAGCCTCCGCTGGGGGCCACTCTGCAGGGTTTTCTGCGCGTCCCGGCTCCGCCCCTTGTAATTGCTCTGCTCTGAGTCTCCGTCACCGTCACCCCAGGTCACCCGTCACCCCAGGTGCGTGGCCGCCTGGCAGGGACGGACAGCGAGGTCTGGAACGTTGGGAAACCACATTCCTGACTCCTGTTAGCTGCCTGCGAGGGACGCGCCGGCAGGAAGGGTGGGGGGTGCTGGGTCCCGCAGAGCAGGGACAACGAGGGCGTCTGGGCTGTGTGTGTGTGTGGGGGGGAGGGTGCGTGGGGGGGGCAGGTGCAGAAGAGGCTGGAAGCCCCACAGAATCAGCGGAGGGATAACCCTGGCTTTGTACTTAGACGTCCCACGCAGTCCCTCATGGTGCGTCCACAAATGGGCAAGATATGCGGACGCTGAAAGTGGTTTTTCTGTGAAATATCCGGTGTCCTAAAAAGGTGCTTAATATGTAACAGGCGCAGGAAGACGGCACAGGAACAGCAGGGCGTCCTTAGCTTTGTCACAAAAGCACCTGAGGAAAGTGGTGCGAACGCCATCCTGCCTCTTAGGGATTGTCTGGCTGGCGGCTGCGGGCCTCGTCCCGGTCAAGCAGGCCCAGCCTGAGACACAGCCTCGTGTGCACATGTCACTGCTTTTTAGATCGCAGGGACATCCGGCCGAGGTGCAGCCAGAGTTGTCCTCACAAGGCTTCCGTGTCTCTGGGACTTAGGGTCACTGGCCAAGGGCTGGGCCTCCCAAGGCCCCTCCGCACACACAGTGGGCCCGCCGTGCACACAGTGGGCTTCTTTTCTCCACTATCAACAGAGGAGCAGCAGCCTGAGCTCCCTGCAGGGCACGCAGGGTGGAAAAATGATTTTTTTCCACATTCCTGGTTTTCCCATCATTTTTTTGTGCAGAGAGCACAGCACCTTTTTTTTAACTTTTTAATGTTGACGTTACTTTTTACCTTTTCTATTATTTTATGTACAGGACACAGTACCGTGTTCTTTTCCTTCATTATTATATTATTGTTTGCTTTCTCCATTATTTTGTGTACAGGGTGCAATACCATATTTTTTTACTTTATTTTGCTTTTATGTTCTTTTTCGATTATTATTTTGGATAGGGAGCATAGTGCCATAGTCTTTTACTTTTTAATGTTAATATTACTTTTTGCTTTTTCGATTATTTGGGAAGGAAAGTGGCATTTTGTTTCCCAATCTTTATATTACTTTTCTCCCTTTACACCATCGCTCTGTGTGAGGGCCACATCACTTTCTCTCGCGTCTGTTACAGGAGCTTTGCTCTCTGCGCCGTCACTGTGTGCACAGTAGGGCTTTTTCTTCCTTTCATCCTCCCTTCCCTGTCTCTGCGTCCCGTGTCGCCTTTCCTAGCACTGCTTGTGGGGTGCACAGTGCCCGCTGTGCCTGAGCCTCCTCGGCACACCCTGACCTCCGTGGTGCAGGTGGGGTGTCCCGGAGCCTGGCCTACACCTGCTGAGACCCAGAGGGGTGACCCGGTGACTGCCAGAGACGAGGGCGAGGCGGGACCCTGCAGGGATGTCCCAAGTCCAGTGTCAGGGCTGAGGGGGCATTGGCTGCCAGGATGGGGCCGGCCTAGCTGCTTCCCAGGACAGGGTCCCCGCAGGTCCGATCGGGAATTCCACTGGCCAGTGTCCCCTGGACAGCCCGTCCCAAATGCAAGGCCGAGTGGCTGCCCGACCCCGGCACGCGCCAGCCGCTGCTGAGCTGACATCACACGGCACAGCCCACGGCGGGCACCCCACCGACCTCCTGGCCCCCGACGGGCGGCAGCGAGATGAGGTGGGGGCTGCCCGCCTTCCCTGCAGAGATGACCGTCCTGTGCCCGCAGGAGCTGAGCGTCACGGAGCAGCTGGACGCCGGGGTGCGGTACCTGGACCTGCGGATCGCGCACATGCTGCAGGGCTCCGAGAAGAACCTGCACTTCGTCCACATGCTGTACACGAGCGCGCTGGTGGAGGTGGGCACGGGGAGGGGGCAGCCGGCAAGGCCTCGGGCAGCGGTGGGCACCACAGCGTTCCCGGGAGGGCGTGGCATCTGCTAAGAGGTGGGGCGGACACCCACGGCCGTTACTGGTGGGACGTGCCATCTCCTAAGGGGTGACCGGGTACCCACGGCCGTTACTGGTGGGACGCGAAGTCTTATAATGGGGGGTGGGCGACCGTGGCCGACCTGGGGCAGTCAGTGATTTGGGCTTCCTGACCCTCCTGTGTCTCTGAGCCTGCACCTCACCCCGGCTCCTGTGGGGCCGCCTGGACGTTTGTGAAAGCGGGTCCCTGGCCGGTCTTCCTGTCCCCTGCCCAGGACACGCTCACCGAGATCTCTGAGTGGCTGGAGACGCACCCCCAGGAGGTGGTCATCTTGGCGTGCAGGAACTTCGAGGGGATGACAGAGGACCTGCACGAGTACCTGGTCACCTGCGTCCAGAACATCTTTGGGGACATGCTGTGTCCCCGGGGGGTGAGTCAGGGCCCGGCCTCCCCCATACCTCTCCCCAGCGGGGGCGGGCGGGTGGGGTTGTACCACCGGCTCCATCTGCTCACTTGGGGCCGCCATGCGTGATGCTGACACAACTCCGGGGCCATTAACGGGGTCTTCCAGACGTTTCTCTTGACGTTGGGTCACACTTGGCTCCTGTTTAGAAGTTGCCACAGAATCTGACGCCCTAAGTTCACCTGACTGCCCCCTGTGTGTGTCTGTGTCCTCACCTCCTCTTCTTATAAGGACACAGGCCTGTTGGATCAGCGCCCACCCTGGTGACCTCATGTCACCTTAATTACCTCCTTGAAAACCCACCTCTAGATACAGTCACATTCTGAGGTCCCGGGGAGTCAGGGCTCCAACATGTGAATTTTGGGGGACACAATTCAGGCTGTAAGCCAACCTGTGGCTGAATCAAGGAGGCGCTTGTCCCCGTTTGCTGGTAGTGGCTGGCACGTGCCCTGCCTTAGTCTCCAGGGAGCCGGAGGAGGTAAAGCCATGACTATCTAGGCTGAGTTTACATCAAATCATTTCAACCCTTCTGTTTGGATTTCTCCAGTGACATCCTGTGAGGTCAGGAGACACCTGGTACCTCAGAGGTTGGGGCTAAAATAGAGGTGACAGTGCTGCCGTCAGCCTGGGGGCACCCAGTCACTCGGGTCTCAACAGGACACATGGGGGAGGGGCCGCCCGGGATGGGGGGCACCAGCCATTGCGCGCGTGTCACTGGGGACGTGACAGTGGGGAGGGGGAGGGCGGTGGGGAACCTTAACTTCCAGCCTGAGACGGAGCCATGCCGGTCCTTCCCCGTGTAACGCAGGACAGACACCAAGTGCCTTTGTCCCAATCGCCAACCGTGGGACCCTGAGGTCAGGGTGCGACCCTGTGCTTGTGAGAATCCAGACACCATGACGGTGACACACAGGCCGCCCTGCTCCCGTCACTGTCCTCTCAGACACCCCAGTGCCTCCGCCTGTCACTGTCCTCTCACATGCACCCCAACAGCCACTTCCCTTGCAGGAGGTGCCGACGCTGCGCCAGCTGTGGGCGCGGGGCCAGCAGGTCATCCTGTCCTACGATGACGAGAGCACGATGAACCGGCACAGGGAGCTGTGGCCCGCAATCCCCTACTGGTGGGGGGACCAGGTGAAGCCGGAGAAGCTGGTCCACTACCTGGAGCGCATGGAGAGCTGCGGCCGCCCAGGTGGGTGCGGTTCCTGCACGAGATGGGGGTCCCACACGGCTGTCGGGCCCCACGCTCGCTTTGGGCGTGAAGCGAGCGATTTAGAGATTTAGAAGCAGTATATGGCTCTGCATGTGCCCACGCGTGTATAAATGTGTGCACGTGTATACACATCCACACGTACCAACATGTGTATGTGTGTGACTGACGGTGCCCACAGCTTTGCGTGCTTCCCGTTCGGTTCTCCTTGTGAGTCGTCCTGGTTTGTTAGTTTCCCAAGGAAATCAGTCCTTTCCTGGCAAACATGCTGCAAGTGAGTCTCCCCGCTTATTGCTGTGATAGCTGGTGGTGTTATTGCTCTAATGTGAGTGTTGGCTTGAAGAAAGGGAACTTTTCTGGATTATGGAGCTGGTCACCTAACATGAGAGGCCTTTCCAAGTGTGAGGCCACCAGCACTTACTGGGGATCTGTGACAGTAGCTACTTGGGAAGCCCGGATTCAGGCGTGTTCCGATGAGGCCACAAAGGCCAGGGGTGTTTATGACAAAAGGAATGGGGACAATGACATCACAAAAGGAAGACGTTGCTATTGGTGCAGATAACGTGACACAGGGACACTGACTCTAAACAGTGTTTCTAATTTTCAGCCCAGAGTCATCCGTCCTGGAGTCCTGGCATCTGCTTTCTTGTTGTCTCTGCAAACAGCTCTTTGGGACACAGTGTTACTGAGGCCCCATCCTAAGGTGACTGTTGTGACAGCCACAGGTTGGAGGCATCAGACGGGCCAGGCCGGTCCTCGGGGACGGCAGCTCCGTCTCTGTGTGAAAGGGGCTCCGTGTGTGTTACTGTTCACAGACCCCATGGTTTAAGCATTTCACTTCTATGGTCCAGGGTGCGCGGCTGCGTGGGTGGACCTGTGGGTCCTGTCTCCCCTCCGCAGCTGGCAGTGAGTGCTGCTGTGTGTCACATGTGTGGCAGTTCACTGGCTGTTGTCTCTGAGCCGCCCTGTGACTGTGTTTGAAACAGTGAAGTCAGTGGTGCGTGCTGACCGGTCCCTGCCGGCACGCTGGCAGAAGTCCAGCCGTGCGGCCTCAGGGGAAGCGTCCGTGGCTGGCTTCCCAGCCGCACGTCCGGCCAAGGGGGCAGCTCCGCCTTCATCCGGGTCGCGCGCTGACCTGTGGCTGGTGCATTTGCTCCCGGGGCTGCAGTCTGGGACCCTGCTGTCCTGAGGGCTGGGCAGAACCTCACAGGGCGGGACATGGGACGCAGTGTCCTGGCTGAAACCTGCCGCACCTTGGAGTTCCCGGGTCCCACCTCGTGGGGGGTCCAGGGCGTTTGAAAGCATCCAGGTGGGCACAACCCCAAAGTCTGTTGTCGGATGAACGGGAGACAAGGGGGCTGTCCCGGCAGAAGCGTGAGTCTGACACATGTCACAATGTGGACGAACCTTTAACAGGTTCACAGGAGCCAGATACCCACGGCCACCGTGTGTGTCACTCCAATTACGTGACACGTCCAGAACAGGCCCGTCCACTGACAGGAAGTGGGTGCCTGTCCCCAGGAGCTGGGGGAGGGGACGGGGGTGACTGGCCATCGGGACCGGTCCCCCTTTGGGGTGATGGAAAGTTGTGGAACGAGTTATTGGTGGTGGTTGCACAACGCTGTGAATGTGCTAAGTGCCTGAGTTTTTCACTTTAAAATGGTGAGTTCCACCTCCAGGTTTTATAAACACCCAGGCTTGTCACACGCAGGCAGGTCTGAGAACCGCTGGCGGTCTCTGTCCTCTCAGGCGGAAACCGGGGTCTCCCACGCGACTGGGGGCCAGGCTCCAGCTGAGCCCCCTCACTGCGGCTCTGCAGGTGCCTGCCAGGCTCTGAGCTGCTGCGAAACAGCATCTGTGCCGCCTCCAGAGCTGTGTCCTCTGGGAAGACCCCGCTCAGCACAGCCCGGGCAGCAGGCTGTCTGTGATCTGGCGTCCGGCCCCTGACGTGTCCGAAGGACAGGCTGAGACGTTAGGGCTGAGGCGACGAAACCATCTGGGGACACTGGCAGGGCGCACGCTTCTCTGTGGGTTCAGGCCACCACAGGGCGCTCAGGCCTTCACCTGGGGGGCTTCCTGGAACGGGCGGCCGAGCCCCTCCCTCGGAGATGCTTCCTCAGCAGGTCTTCTGAGGGCTCTGGGGACTCCACTTGAAAACCACTGGCTGACAACGTCTGTGGATGAGTCGCCTTTCGTGACAAATACCACAAACCTGGTGGCTAAAGCGAGAGCTGTATTCTCCCACAGTCCCGAGGGCAGAAGTCAGACATGCGCCGTCCCACGGGGCTAAAGCGAAGGGTCCTCAGGCATGGCTCCTTCGGGACGCTCTTGGGGACAACCTGCGTCCCTGCCTTTTCCAGCCTCCAGAGGCTCCCGTGTTCCTGGGCTCCTGGCCCCACATCACGTCACCCAGTCCCCCGTCCCATTCCATCACCGCTGCACTTTCTGGCTCCGTCGTCTGGTGTCCCTCCTGACTCCCTCTTATAAAAGGACCCTTGTCACTACATGTAGGGTTTACCCACAGCATCAAGGGTGACCCCCCGATCTCAGGATCCTCAGTTTTATCCCATCTCAAAGTCCAATTGACGCGTAAGGTCCCAGAGACACAGGTGGACACAGACACCTTTGGGGGCCTCCATGCTGTCACCACACGGGGATCAGGATGTGGGCGTGTCTGGGGACATTCTCGCCCACCGTCCTCTGTCACAGTACGAGGAATGTGACGCCACCGTGCGGTCTGACGGCGGCAGGGGCAGAGGGCGGGTGGTGACATGGCGTTGGCGGGCAGCGGACACACCGTCTCTCCCCCTCCTGTTGCAGGCGGGCTGTTTGTGGCCGGCATCAACCTGACGGAGAACCTGGAGTACATCCTGGCACACCCGTCCCAGTCCCTCAAGAAGCTGACGCTCCCCAACCTGCCGTACCTGAGCACGTGGGTCCGGGAGCAGAGCCCGGGGCCCGGCAGGCAGTGCACCAACATAATCGCGGGCGACTTTGTCGGCGCCGACACCTTTGTCAACGATGCCATCAGACTCAACGAGAAGCTGCTTGGGTGCTGAGTGTGTTCTTCTCTGGCTCCACATGCCGGCGGCGCCCGGGCCCCTCCTTGAGCTCTCGGCCGCCATTCTTTTGGCCAAACATGGGCGAGAACGGGGTCCGGGCAGCCCCGGGCAGGGTCCCCCAGTCTCCTCCCTGATGGGTGCGCCCCATTGGGGCCCCCCTGGCCTCACTGTTCTCGGTGTCTCTGGGGGGGACTGATTCCATGACTGCTGACGATTAAAGGTGGCGAAGCGATTGCGTCATCTAGGGAAGACTCCCCTGGAATTACCTGGCTGTGCTCTTGTCACCTGTGACAGACTCAGAGGCGTCCCCTCAGCTGGGGGCTTCCGAAAGCAGCGCAGTGACACCCTGTCAGCTCCAGGGCGCTGCTTAAAGCCTTTCATAATATCGCATCCTTGGCTAGGACCGACGGGTAGAAACCTACTTTTTCAGATAACGCAACGACCTCTTACTAATTCTGGTAAAGTGAAGGCTGTTCCCTTCCCCGGGGCCGGCAGGCCTCCTGGGGACTCGCTGGTTGTCCTGCTGCTTCTGTTTGGAAGTTGTTGACAAAGATGGGCGGCAATGGAATTGGGCACACGCTCCCCCCCATTCCCAGAGGCTCCTGGGACGCCGTCTTCACGCAGGTGCCGGGCACAGGTGTGAGTGGTACCACACAGGTGTGGCGTGTCCGTGCTGGTGTGCTGCTGTTCACCCTCGTCCTCACAGCGTCCCTGCTGTGCAGCGTCTGCTCAGTCCTACGGCCTCTGTGAATGAGGTACCCGGGCCCCTCCTTACTCCACCAGGAGTGGGGCCGCCTGCCACGCACGCAGGTGTGAAATGGAGCCGCCGTGGGCGTGGTCCTGCCTGTGGCCGCTCTGCCACCCCTGCGAGTCTTCCCTTTGTCCCCAGGCCGCAGTGGCTGTTGGCCACGTGTCACCTCCCCTCGTCCTGGGGTTTCCTAGACGCCGCCGTCCTTGTGTCGTAGGCGTCCAGCCGCCATCACAGTGCCAATCACGTTGACCCTATCTTCTCATTTCCTGGGCGTCTGGGCACCTTCCACACCCCGGAGAGGCAGCCCCTCCCAGGGCCGGCTGGCTGCTAAGATGAAAACCATTTCCTTGGGAGCACGCCTGTCACGTGCAAGCCAACCACCCCGTCATCTAACCACTCACCAAGGCAGCATTCCCCCTGCCCCAGTCACCCGGGGCAGCTGCCAGGTGACCGGAGGCCACCTGTGTCACCCAGAATCTGCCGGAACCCTTCAGATTAGCCCATGCCACCCTGTTCTCTCTGTCCCCCACCTTCCCCAGGGGCACACTGTGGCCTCATGCTTTCTGCCTCCTGCCCCAAACGCGGCCCTGTGCACGTCCCCTTCTTCTGGGAAGCGGAAGTAATTTGTTGTTTTCCAGTGGCTTGGCCCCTCTGGCTGGCTCAGGCACCCCCATTGGTTAAAAGCCTACAGATAAAAGTGACGCTCCCCCGTGCTGCCCCCAAGGGCACAAACGACACCCCCCGTGGTGTCCCCAGTCCTCTGGGAGGCTCGGCAACACCTGAGAGGCCTCTGCACTTCTTCCCAAGGCCAGCAGTCCGGGTTTCAAAGACTCGACGGTCACAGAGATGCTTCATTTTGTACACGTGGCTTTCCAGAGCTGGTGGCTCACGTTCTCAGGCACAGGATGGGTCCCAGCCACCCTTTCTCTCACGTCCCTCTTAGGAGGGTTCCTGGGAATCCCTGTGTACATTCCTCCTAAACAGAAGGGCACCCAATGTTAGGTTTTCTTAGGTCAGTCTTCAACATGATTCTTTAATGTGTGCTGGAATGTGTTGTCTTTGGGATTGAATTACTTTTTCCAGAAGAAAATCTGCGTATGCGTTTGCTGCCGGGATGCCACCGTTGAACGCATGCCCCTGAAATCCAGACACACAGAGCGGGGGACCATCCCGCTGGCTGCCTCTCCCCACGGGGCTCGGAGCTCAGGATGTCGAGAAGAGGGAACACACCTCAGGGAAAGTGTCTGACATCCCAAACGTGCTCTCACTCTGATCCTACAAGGACCTCGGATTTCGGTCAGGAACCGCTCAACGGGAATTGTTTAATTCTAGAGAACAGTTAGAAGACATTGACATCAGATCTGATTACGGATTTTTGTGACCAAACACCCAAAATTTTGTTGGTAATACACAGCATCTTTAGAAACGTGAGCTTGATTGAGCATTTCTCAGGAGCGTTATTAAACAATCAAATCCTGCCTCCTTCCTCCTGTCTTTCTGTGCTGCATGAATGCAAGGACTAGAATCAATGCTTTGAGGTTTGCAGTGTTTAGTGTCTCTGTGGGGACATTAAGCAAAGACCCTGGTTAATTTAACAATGACTTTTCGAGACCTGTATGAGAGGCACGTGATCCCGGTGGGGCAGCTTCCGGGCTGCACACATGGGGACGGCCCGCCGTGGACAAGGCCCGGTCTTGCTCACGTCACGTCCTCACAATGCCCAGCGTGGCTCAGCAGCCGCTGAGTAATGATTGTGGATGAACCACTAGCCACGACGGCGATCTTGGCTGTCTGCAAACCATCTCTGGACCGTCCCTCGTCAGAGACACGGGGGGGGGCACCCGGGGCTCTGCCCAGCCCAGACCCTGCCTCTGACGGCGGCCTCCCTGCCACCCACACGGGGTCGTTTTCAGGGCCTGGGCTCCTCTGGGCACAGTGGACCCCGGAACTGTGAGGAGAGAAGACTGTCTGCAGAAAGAGGGGTCTTAGGAGACTGTGTGCTGGTGGGTGGGGAGCGGTCTTGTACCTGTTCCCCCCATGGGAAGCCTGACGGTTCCTCTCTGGGGCCTGAACCCCAGCCCTTCCTCTGGGGCCCCGAGGCCAAAGCCCTTTCTCTGGGCCCCCTGAAATCCCCAGCCTTCTGTTGGCCCGAGACCCCCCAGCCGTCTAGGGGTACCCTGAGACCCCTGGCCCTCTCTCTCCGGGCCCCCTGAGCCCCCCCCCCCTTTGCTGAGCTCCCACAGTGGTGTCCGGACCCTGCAGTGAGCAGGCTGTGTCTGATGCAACCCTGGGACTGAGCTCTCTCCGCCCCTAAGTCCTTGGGGCGGGGCCTCGGATGTGGAGGGGACAGGGCAGTGGTGGGACCAGGGGAGACCAGAGACCAGAGCCCCGACAGCCTTCGCTTGCATCTCCCAGCCAGGAGGCCCTGGGGGTGGGGCAGACAATGCCTGGGGGCTGCACCTGGGAGGAAGCAGGCGTTCCCCCACATAACATGACAGGCCGCAGCGGTGCCTGCAAGGGAGCAGTAGGGTGGTCACCCAGGGTGGCCACAGGCTGGCGGACTGGACTGGACTCTGGGAGCTGGGGGGCACGGCTCGAGCAGGGTGCTCCCCCACCTGCCAGGGTCTCCTCAGAGCCCCTCGAGCTCGGCGACCCCGTAGGAGCCAATCCCCAGGGCTGGGAGGAAGACCTCAGGCCCAGGCTCGCTGGCCTGGCCTGGTCATCCGTCCTGGAGGCGGCTGTCCCGCCCCACGAGGCCACACCTGGGCAGCCTGCAGAGCTCCCTGCACCCCGTAGGGACCAGACGGTGCTGCCAGGACCTCGTCCCAGCTCCGCACACAGCCTGTGGGGTCCCGGGAGCCCAGGTCCTCGGGGAGGCTGGGTAAGGCCGCTCACACGCGGCCGGCTCTCGGGAGCCCTTGTCCTGCACCCCAGGTCCCACGTGTGTGTGTGTCCTGGGGCTGCTGTCACAGATGGCCACAACGGTCACTTCAAGCAACACATTTATTCCCTCACAGTTCTGGAGGTCAGGAGTCTGACGTGAGTCTCGCAGGTGAGCTCAGGTGTGGGCAGGACTGGTTCTGGGGGCCCCGCTGCTCACAAGGGTGATCTCGGCTCTGAAAACCTTTCCTAGGCCCTGCTCGGCTCGGGCCCCGTCCTCCACCGTGGCTTTCTCGATGTTTTGTCTCACTTCTGGCTGGTTCCTCACACCTCCGACTCTGAGCCTCCTGCCTCGCTCATGTAAGGACCCTTGTGACGCCATGTAGGGCCCGCCCGGGTCACGCAGGGCCATCCCCCACTTCAGGGGGCTTCACTTGATCGAATCTGCAACGGCCTTTTGCCCACTAAGGTAACACATCACAGGTTCTGAGCATTAGGGCGGGACGTCTTTGGGGACACTATTCTGTCCACCACACGGGGACGTCTCAGTGCCCTCCTTCTGCCCACACCTCCCAGACTGCGTGTCCACAGGGTGGCCGAGTGTGGAAGCCAGGCGTGGGAGACCTGAGCACTGGTGGGAGTGCAGTGGGGCCGCAGGGCCACGTGTGTCAGGAGTCTTACCAGACAAGGGCTGCGCACACCAGCCTTCGGCGTGCTCAGCAGAGGGCCGACGTGCCCTCTTTGTCATCCCAACGCCAACGTTCTGGGACAAGTCAAGGAACAGCCCTGTGAGGCTGAATGCAAGTCTAAGGGACGCAATTACACAGCAAACTTCCTGGGTGCCGGGGGCGAGAGAACCCCTCGCTGCAGGATTTCCTGACAGACTTGCAGCCGGACGGCTGCCCATCTCCCTGGGGGCTTGTCAGTGTCTGAGCGCCCAGGCCCTCCGGCCGTTTTGCACCGGAGGTTGTCCTGGAGCCTGTCTGCATTCGGAGCCTCAGCAGCGGGGTCCTGCCCCCCGTGTGTGCGAGCTCAGCTCCGGGACGGAGCCTCCTGCTGGTCGAGAAGACGCCCCAGCTTTACTTTTCTTGTGGTTGGCAAGTAACGCGCGTGACAGACGGCTCTGCGAGGCATCTTCCCATTGTGCCATCTCTTAGTGGCTCCTGGGACGCTCGTCCCACTCGGTTTCTGTGGCTTCCGTGACGGCACGTGTTCTTTGTCCTCTGCCTTTGTGGGGGGACCCATCGGTGACGATTCCTCCGACGCCAGGCTTTGGGAGACCAGGCCGGGCGGCTGCGACTGTGAAACACACAGGACGAAGACACTGCACCCGCCTCCTTCAGTGGCCGCTGTGGGCAGACGTCGTGTGGGCGGCCAGCGCGGGGAAGAGCCAGACAGGCGGGTTTAAAAATGCAGGAACTAGGCCTTAATGTCTCGTAGCAGAAACATCTGGAAGGCAAGTCAGCCCACACAGCGCTGACCACTGAGCTGGAATCCCCGAGTGCGCCCGTCCGACTGACAGACCAACCTCCATGCTGACCTGGGTCAGGTGGCGCCCGCCTGCCTCCCTCTGCAGCTGAAACGACGGTCCCCAGGCCACAGGCCGCCTGTCATTCTGGAAACAGCTTCCGGAACTTGCCATAAGCAGAGCCGCTGATGATGACCGTGACGTCAGCCACCCCGGCCTCGGGGACCACGTCCACCTGCTGCACCGTCGCCTCCTTATGCAGCCAGCTGAGGAAACAGGTGAGGACCCTGTTCATGGGGTGCTGACCCCGGTCGCAGCCCCGAACCACAGTGGCACCCTCGTTACTGTTGGGAGATACTGCCAATGGCCCCGAGGTGTCAGTCACCTGGGGGGCTGCAGGGTAACTCAGAGACACAGCTCGTGTGGGCAGCCTGCACCCGCTAAGGGCCTGACAGCTGCTCAGGGACACAGCCCCGCCCACTGACCAGCCACGTGGGTCACCGCCCCGCCCCCGCCCCGCCCACCAATCAGCCACATGGGCCACCGCCCCGCCCACCGGGCAGCAATGTGTCACCGCCCCGCCCACCGGGCAGCAGCACACACCTCAGCTGCGGCCCCGCCAGCCTGACACGGAGCGTGAGGACCCGTCTCCCCGTCGCCCTCAAAACAGCGTCTTCCAGCTCGGCTTTAAGCTCCTCCAGCCCGAGCCCCAGGAGGGCGGACACGGCGAGGGCACGCGGCCCCGCGGGGCTGTACCTGTGTGGGGGTGGCCCGCAGACCCGCTCAGCGTGGGACGGCCAGGCGCGGGTCCCCACGGGTCGCCCTGCCCACGGGGCCCCCGCTGGGGCTGCTTCAGCCCGTCCCAGGTGGGCACACGATCCCGTCGGACGGTCAGACGAAGGGAAAAGTGGTCAAGCACGCGACGGCGTGACACACGGGGTGCTGGGGTGCGGGGGTTCAGAGCGCGCCCCCCGGGCCCGCGCTCTGAGGAACCGGCGCCTACAGACAGCACTGGAGGGGGGCGCTCTGGCCGGTCCTTCCCGCGCGCAGGACGGCTGCGTGAGGGGCGCGGGGG